GTCAAGACATTTTTCTCCAAAAAAAAAAAAAAAAAACAGCCTTCTTGTCAAGACATTTTTCTATAGAAAAACTGCCTTCATGTCAAGACTTTTTCCTATAGAAAAACTGTCTTCTTGTCAGGAAATTTTTCTATAGAAAAACTTCTTCTTGTCAAGATACTTTTCTACAGAAAAACGTTCTTGTCAAAACATCTTTCTATAGAAAAACTGCCTTCTTGTCAAGACATTTTTCTATAGGAAAATTGTCTTCTTGTCAAGACATTTTTCGATAGAAAAACTGTCTTTCTGTTGAGACATTTTTCTATAGAAAAGCTGTCTTCTTGTCAAGACATTTTTCTATAGAAAAAATGTATTCATGTCAAGACATTTTCCTATAGAAAACATTTTAGCAAAGAAAAACTGTCTTCTTTCAAGTAATTTTTTTAAAGAAAGTCTTGTCTATACATTTTTCTATAGAAAAACTATATTCTTGTCAAGACACAAAAACTGTCTTGCTTTCAAGACATTTTTCTTTAGAAGAATTGTCTTCCTGTCAAAACATTTTTCTATGGAAAAACCTATATTCTTGTGAGGAAACTTTCTGTAGAAAAACTGCATTCATGACTAGACACTCTCCTATAGAAAACTGTCATTGAGACAACACACTATTCTATAGAAGAACTGTATTCATACAAAATACTTTTCTATTGAAAAACTGTCTTCATACAAGACATTGTTCAAAAACACTTGCTGTCTTTATGACAAGACACTTTTATGTAGAAAAACTAACTTCCTGATAAGATACTTTGCAACAGAAATACTTTCTACTAGCCAGTTTCCTGACAAGACTCCTCTCTATATAAAAACGACTTTCTGAAAAATATACTTTTCTATTAAAAGTCTTTTCTGCTAACTTTTGATGAAATTGTATGAAAATTTTGAATATTTCAGAATTTATAATTTATTTGTCGAAGTTTTATTATAGAATCCATTGAAGTCTAATAAAATTTTGTTTAAAAGTTTCTCATTAAATCAAATTGCTTCTATTTTAAAAAATTTTATTCTAAATTCATAAAAAATATAACTAAATCTAAAAAAACCATACTATTAACAATTTTAAATCATAAATTAAAACTCAAGTACCAGTAATAACCTCAATCATGATAAAAAAAATCAAGAATTATTGTTGTTTTTACCTTAACACAAGTACCGTAAAGTGCCTACTTAGAATACAAGTCAGTAGTAGTTATTGCTGCTCTATAAACAACTCTTCTGCGCCCTTTTTAATATGATATGACTCTAGGTGTCTATATATATGACTGTATGTCTGTCTATTTCTCATACTCTTTTACACATGTGATTTACAATTCAATTTCTTTATGCTTGAATACGTGATTGTATTGATGATAAGTTTTTTTTTGTATTTTTACAATTTCAATCTTTTTGAATTTAATTTAATTTTTATTTCATTTTTGTTTTCTATAAAACTGCCACTAGATTTCTGCGCTTATTTTTACTCGTATTTGCTGTGGCAGTTTAATTAATGAATGAACTGCCGCTGCTGCTGTTTGCTATATCTCTTTGAGGCATACTTGTTCGCACATTATAGCTACTACCAACTCCAGTTCAGTGCAAGTTTTCACCAATACCGCCAACAGTTAATATTTGCTATTTGCTTTTTGGTATTTATTTATTAGTCAAAGTATTTTTTTGGGTTGGGTTGGGTCTTTATGCTTTAGTTGTTGATCTCTTTTTACTAGTTTTCTTTTAACCTCCCCACCCAAAATGTATATAGGACAACCAAGCAAAAGATTTTGAAAGCTGCTTACAACAAAGCTTTTCCATTACTTATGGATTACAAATAAGGTGAATGGAAGCAGTAAGGTAAGGCAGATGACTGCCTTCAGACATTTTTAATCCCAGCAAAAGATGTAGAAAGCTTTTACTGCTTATAAAAAAGCTTTCCCATTACTTATGGGTTACAAATAAGAGGAATGGAAGTAGTAAGGTAAGGCAGATGACTGCCTTCAGACACTTTCAATCTAATTTTGATTAACTATTCTCAAATACGTACAGTTCAGAAAGTTTTATTTCGATTCATTTTCAAACGTCTGATATTTGAGAATCAGTTTAATCTCAAATCTTTCTCAAATGTTTAATCTTCTTTTTGGAGAAGTTGCTACTCGAATATTTCACCTTCCTCAGTTAAATTGTTCACTTGGTCATTATACCTGAGTGTATATCTTCTGAACTCAAGTAAAAAGGTTCTTTATTGGTGTTAAATTAATACAATTTTTTTTTTATTTCATTTTATCATTCTACTATAGCCACCGCTCTATCGTATATAACCATAGATTAGCATGGTAAAAGTGTGTTTACAATTTGCACTTTATAGAATACAAATTGTTAGTTGGACAGCAAAAATAAAACTGAAAAAAAAAATCCAAATAAAAACCCAAGAATCGTATAATTAATGTGTGAAATAGAATGTTTGATATCGTATGAAAACTATACACAAGTATTTAATACGGGAAGACAATGTTGTATAAAGTCGATTAAATCTATAAGTAAATAGTTAATAGTAATTTAGCAAGAGTATAGAAAAAAACCTTGTTTTAAAAATCCATTTTAATTTGAAAAAAATCATTTAAAATGTAACAAGACATTATAATAGCCTTGTAAATTTAATTACAAATTCGTGCTCTTTTTTTCTAAATAATAAATATTACCACTTTTTTCGATTTTAAACAACTTTTACTATTTTCAATAATAAGAATATTGAAACTTAAATATATCCGGTGGAGTTGTTGTTTTTTGTTAATTTAAAATTTGCAGGTGGAGTTAGGGAGCTACAAAGATATGTTGGACTAAATTCTTAACTAAAGAGACCAAACTATAGCTATAGACGATAGCCAAGACAATAGTCCAGACTACTGTCTACACTATAGTCTAGTCTATATTCCTGACTAGAGTATAGTCTATAGTCCAGACTACTGTCTACACTATAGTCTAGTCTTTAGTCCAGACTATAGTTTAATCTATTGTCCGCATTATAGTCCAGTCTATAGTCCACATTATAGTCTAGTCTTTAGTTCTCACTATAGTCTAGTTATAGTTTAGTCTAAAGTTCACATGATAGTCTAGTCTTTAGTTCCGACTATAGTTTAGTTTACAGTCCACACTATAGTCTAGTCCAATATAGACTAGTCTATACTCCATATTATAGTCTATTCTATAGACCAGACTATAATCAATTCTACAGTCAACTCTATAGTCTGGTCCATACTTCAGACTATAGTCTAGTCAGGATATAGACCTGACCCATTCTTTAGTCCAGACTATAGTCCGATCTTTAGTCCAGACTATAGCCCGGTCTTTGGTCCAGAATATAGTGCAGCTTATAGTCCAGTTTACAGTACAGACTGTAGTCCAGTTTATAGACCAGTCTGTAGTAGAGACTATAGTCCAGTCTATAGCACAGACTATAATAAAGTCTATAGTGTAGATTATAGTCCAGTCTATAGTCCAGACAAAAGTCCGGTCTATAGTCCAGACTATAGTCTATAGTCCATACGATATAGTCCAGACTATAGTCCAGTTTATTGTTCGGTCTTTATAGTCCAGACTATAGTCTATAGTCCATACGATATAGTCCAGACTATAGTCCAGTTTATAGTCCGGTCTTTATAGTCCAGTTAATAGTCCAAATTATAGTCCAGACTATCGTTTGGATCGACTTTAATCCAGTCTATAGTCCAGACTATATTCCAGATTATAGTGCAGTTTATAGTCCAGACCTTATCCAGTTTATAGTTCAGACTAAAGTCCGGTCTTTAGTCAATACTATAGTCTGTTCTTTAGTCCAGATTATAGTCCGGTCTTCAGTCCAGACAGTATTCCGGTCTAGTCCAGACTATAGTCCACTCTATAGTCCTAACTATAGTCCAGATTATAGTTCAGGCTATAGTCCAGTTTATAGTCCAGACTATAATCCAGTCTATAGTCCAGACTATAGTACAGTTTATAGTAAAGATTATAGTCTAGACTATAGTGTCTATAGTCCAAACTATAATCCAGTGTATAGTTCAGAATAAAGTCCGGTCTTTAGTCCAGACTACAGTCCCGTCTATAGTCCACACTCTAGTTCAATTTATAGTCCAGACTATTATAGTCCAGTCTATAGTCCAGACTATATTCCATATTACAGTCCAGTTTATAGTCCAGACTTTATTCAGTTTATAGTCCAGTTTATAATTCATACTAAAGCCTTTAGTCAAGGCTATAGTCCGGTCTTTAGTCCAGAGTATAGCCGGTCTTTTGTCCAGACAGTAGTCCGGTCTAGTCCAGACTATAGTCCACTCTATAGTTCAGACTATAGTGCAGGCTATAGTTCAGACTATAATCCAATCTATAGTCCAGACTATAGTACAGTTTATAGTAAAGATTATAGTTTAGACTATAGTGCAGTCTATAGTCCAGACTATAATCCAGTTTATAGTTCAGAATTAAATCCGGTCTTCAGTCCAGACTATAATCCCGTCTATAGTATAGACTCTAGTTCAGTTTATAGTCCAGATTATAGTCCAGACTATAGTCCAGACTATAGTCCAGACTATAGTCCAGACTATAGTTCAGTCTAAAGTCCAGATTATAGTCCAGACAATAGTTCAGTCTATAGTCCAGCCCGGTCCATACTGAGTCCAGAATATATAATGCTTTTGTGAAGATTTTTAAATCTGTATTTTTTATTTTTACAAAATAAAAATATGTTTCCTGAAAAAAATATTTAAATTTTCTCTAGCTAAAACATTAATTAAAAAAATCCCTCATATCCGTTACTTTTTCCATTGTTGTTATTTTTGGAAAAACTTTTGAAAACTTTAAACGTTCCCCTTCATAAAATTCAATATCTCACTGACAATAAAAGATTTAATATTTTCCTTTTATCAATAAATTGAAAAATATAAAACCAAACAAATCATAATTGTTTCTTTATGTTGTTTTTTTTGTATTCGTTGCAGATTTGAGCACTTGAAATATTGGATACGTAACCCCTTCTCCGAAAAAAGACAGAAAAAAAAACTAAACGGAACGAAAGAAATAATTGCAATTTGCATATTCATCTGTTAACATTTAGCATTTTCATAGTTGCTGCAGTTTATAATTTAAACCGAAAAAATGCTTGAGTGCACAGCTGCATAAAAGTTTAAAAAAAGCAACAACAACAAAAAATTAAAGAAAAATAATCATAAATAAAAGAAAAACAACTACAATAAACAAATAATAACAAAACACATGTACTGGTAAGAAGTACAATTGAAGAAAAAAAGCTAAAAAAAAAAACAAAAAAAGAGTACAACCACCAAGTAAATGGTATCTGGTATTGTGTTTCTGTTTTTGTTGTTTTATTGCTCTCATTATTATTGTTATTGTTGTGTTAACCCCAAAACTCCCCTTTTTAACAGACTACCATACAACAAAGCCAAACTAAACAGAGAATAAAAGCAAAAAACAAACTGTCTCACTTTACAATAATAAATAGCAAGAGCCAAAACAACAACTTCAAATACAAAAACACAAACAGAGTAGTTGTAAACCACCAGGCCAACAGCAGCTAACAGACACACCAGCAGCAGTCATTCATTAACAACTGCAGCAGAATCACAATCAGAAGCAGTTCTCCACAATTTACAAAACAGAATTGAAAACCAAAAAAAAAAACTACAACAAACATTACAAGAATATTTACATAAAGATTATGTAAAAATACAACGACAACTATACAAGAACAATACAAATAAACAACGACTAAAACAACCAGGCAAAATTAGAGAGAAAAAACAAAAACAAAGAATACAACTAAAAACCAAAAAAAAAAAAAATAATTAATACAACAAACATGTAAAAATGAAGTAAACTTTAGAGTTTTTGTGTAATTTTTTTCGTTTTTCTCGCCATTTTAGTTACAAGTAATAGGAAAAACTGCAACACAACAACAACAAATATTAACTCAACAGCAGCCCAGTAGTGGTGTTGTTTTAGCCACTTTAAAGGAAACTGGGATCGAAACAACCGATCAACAAAACAAACAATACATTCCTGGAATTAAAGTATTTATATTGTTTATTTAAATACATTTTAAGCCGAAATTAACAAAAAAGAAAAAACGAAAAAAACAACAAAAAAGACAAAGTCGACTTAAAAGGTGAGTAAGTTTAAGTGTAAACAATGAGATAATAAGTATTTTTTAAACACCAAACCGAATAAAAATAGAGGTAAAGGCAAGTTTAACAAATGTTTATTATAGATCTGGGTAGTTCATATTTATATTCCAGCGTATAAACTATGGTCCAGGCTATAGACTATCTATAGTCCAGACTATAGACTATCTATAGTTCAGACTATAGACTATCTTTAGTCCAGAATTATAGACTATCTATGGTGCAGACTATAGACTATCTTTAGTCCAGAATTATAGATTATCTATGGTGCAGAGTGTAGACTAGCTATAGTCCAGAGTATAGACTATCTATAGTCCAGAGTATAGACTATCTATAGTCCAGACTATAGACTATCTATAGTCCAGACAATAGACTATCTGTAGTCCAGACAATATATAGTCCAGACTATAGACTAACTATAGCCCAGACTATGACTACATATAGTCCAGACTATAGACTATCTATAGTCCAGACTATGACTACCTATAGTCCCGACTATAGACTATCTATAGTCCAGACTATAGACTACCTATAGCCCAGACTATAGACTATCTATAGTCCAGACTATCTATAGACTAGACTATAGACTATCAATAGTCCAGACTATTGGCTACCTATAGTTCAGACTATAGCCTATCTGTAGTCCAGACTATCTATAATCCAGACTATAGACTACCTATAGTCCAGACCATAGACTATCTATAGTCCAGACTATCGACTATCTATAGTCCAGACTATAAAGTATCTATAGTACAGAATATAGACTATCTATAGTACAGAATATAGACTATCTATAGTCCATACTATAGTTTATCTATAGTCCAGACTATAGTCTATCTTTAGTCCAGACTATAGACTATCCAGACAATAGATTATCTGTAGTTCAGACTATGTATATATAATCCAGACTATAGACTAACTACTATATAGTCCACTATGACTATCTATAGTCCAGACTATAGATAGTCTTCAAGTCTATAATCAATAGATCTTTAGTCCAGACTATTCAATACCTATAGTCAATACTATGAATACCTATAGTCCAGACTAAAGACTATTTATAGTCCAGACTATAGACTATTTATAGTCCAGACTATAGACTATTTATAGTCCAGACTATAGACTATTTATAGTCCAGACTATAGACTATTTATAGTCCAGACTATAGACTATTTATAGTCCAGACTATAGACTATTTATAGTCCCGACTATAGACTATCTATAGTCCAGACTATAGACTATTTATAGCCCAGACTATAGACTATTTATAGTCCAGACTATAGACTATTTATAGTCCAGACTATAGACTATTTATAGTCCAGACTATAGACTATTTATAGTCCAGACTATAGACTATTTATAGTCCAGACTATAGACTATATATAGTCCTGACTATAGACTATCTATAGTCCAGACTATTGACTACCTATAGCCCAGACTATAGTCTATCTGTAGTCCAGACTATCTATAACCCAGACTATAGACTACCTATAGTCCAGACTATAGACTGTTTATAGTCCAGATTGTAGACTGTTTATAGACCAGACTATAGACTGTTTATAGTCCAGACTATAGACTATCTATAGTCCTGACTATAAACTATCTATAGTCCTGACTATAAACTATCTATAGTCCAGACTATAGACTATCTATAGTCCAGACTATAGTCTATTTATAGTCCAGACAATACTCTATCTGTAGTTCAGACTTTATATAGTTCAGACTATAGACTAACTATAGTCCAGACTATGACTACCTGTAGTCCATACTTTAGACTATCTATAGTCCAGACTATGACTACCAATAGTCCAGACTATAGACTATAGATTATCTATAGTCCAGGCTATTACTATATATAGTCCAGATTATAGACTATCTATAGTCCAGACTATAGACTATCTATAGTCCAGACTATGACTACCAATAGTCCAGACTATAGACTATAGATTATCTATAGTCCAGATTATAGACTATCTATAGTCCAGACTATAGACTATCTATAGTCCAGACTATAGATTATATATAGTCCAGACTATAGACTCTATATATCGTACTATGTAGAATGTACTAGCTTTGAAAATAGCAACATTTTCTTCGTAGCGAAAGTTTTATTTATGCATGTTTATATGTATGTACTAACAATTTTTTTGGCGACAGTTTGTCTCCAAAAGAAACTGATTAAAATGAATGACACGTCCATAATTTTATGGAATTAAAAATTAAAAAAAATGAAGTTTACGTTTTAAATATACGAGAAAGCATGACCATGAAAACTAGAGAGAATTTATTTTAGTCACAGAATATAAAAAGCAAAAAAGAGCATGGAAAAATAAATAATTAATTTAAACAAGTGTTGGTTGTAATTTTACGGGAAGAAAGTTGTAAAGAAAAGTTATTAAAAAATGCATGACTATTGGTTATGACACGTGTAAACTATGATTTTCGAACATTTATGTAAACTACCCATAGTGCACGATTTAATTGAAAGTTAATTAAAACTTTATTTGTTTAAACTTCGAACCACATTCCCGACAAATTTCCTTTTCTGTAATTAATCTTTATTAATACCATTCTTTGTCACATTAAGTCAATTGTTTAGTTTAAAATACATTCTTTTTGTTGCAAATTTCAATAACAATAAACAGCTAATAATAATGCCCCAACCAACCTTTAAGCACCTTGCACAGCATTAACATATTGTGGGAAAAATTCCGCAACACCAACATTATTGCAAGAAATCTGAAAAAAAAAATCACATAATTAACATATAAAAAATAATTACAATTTAAATAATGCATCTAGACTTTGATCAGAAAACCCACTTGCTTTTGAATAAAATAATTTATAATTATGACCAACAAATTCATAATAAGTTGTCATTTTTAATGGGGATTAGAAAAATTATGATTTCTTAAGAATCTGGTTTGTGCAGAGGGGAAAATGACAACTGTCATGTCACTTGATTTTAATTAATTAAAAGTGTTTGGATTTGAGGAAACAAGACTAAAATAGATAGTCTATAATCTGGACTATAGATTGTTTCTAGTCTGGACTATAGATAGTTTATAGTCCTAACTATAGATACTCTATAGTCTGGGCTTTAGATAGTATATAGTCTGGACTACAGACAGTCTACAGTGTGGACTATAGGTAATCTTCTGTCTGGACTATAGATAGTCTATAGTTTAGACTATAGATTTTCTTTAGTCTGGACAATAGATAGTCTATAGTCTGGATCATAGATAGTCTATAGTCTGGACCATAGCTAGTCTATAGTCTGTACTATAGATAGTGTATAGTCTGGACTAAAGATTGTATATAGTCTGCACTATAGATAGTCTATAGTCTGGACTATAGATAGCCTATAGTCTGGACTATAGATAGTCTATAGCATGGACTATAGATAGTCTATAGTCTGGACTATAGATAGTCTATAGTCTGGACTAAAGATAGTCTATAGTCTGGACTAGGGATAGTCTAAAGTCTGGACTATAGATAGTCTATAGTCTGAACTAGGGATAGTTTAAAGTCTGGACTATAGATAGTCTATAGTCTGGACTGTAGATAGTCTATAATCTGGATTATAGATAGTCTATAGTGTGGACTATAGATAGTCTCTAGTATGGACAATGTATAGTCTATAGTGTGGAGTATAGATAGTCTATAGTATCTACTATATATAGTCTATGGTCTGGACTGCAGTTACTCTGTAGTCTAGACTATAGATTGTCTCTAGTCTGGACTATAGATAGTTTATAGTCTTGACTACATATAGTCTATAGTCTGGGCTATAGATTGTCTCTAGTCTGGACTATAGATAGTTTATAGTCTTGACTACAGATAGTCTATAGTCTGGACTACAGACAGTCTGTAGTATGGACTATAGATAATCTATTGTTTGGACTGTTGACATTCTATAGTCTGGACTATAGATAGTATATAGTTTGAACTATAGATAGTCTGTAGTTTGAACTATTGATACTCTATAGTTTGGACTATTGATATTCTATAGTATGGACTATAGATAGTTTATAGTTTGAAGTATAGATAGTTTATAGTTTGAACTATAGATATTCTATAGTTTGAACTCTTCGTAGTCTATCGCTGAAACTATTGATGGTCTATAGTCTGTAATATAGATAGAAAAAATTCCTGAATAATATCGCTGCTGCTGTCCATTTTTCGATTCGATTTCCTTAAATAAATATAAATATTATCTCATAATTGTCTTTCGTTTTATTACTTTCCCACATTAAAGAGTTCATTTTGTTGGCATCCCACTGTGTTTTAAATTTACAACAAATAACCATCCATCTACTAAATAACCAATTTGCTACAAGCGAACCACGACTGAACCAACTACAGCAACTAAGCAAGAAAAAAAGACAAAAAACAGAATAACCCGTCCGATTTAATGTTAAACATGTTTAACATCATAAAAAAAATTAGACAAGAAAACAGTTTGTTAAGATTTATTAATAATTATGATGGTAACAACAAGACTAGAACAACAACAGCAGCAGCAGCAACAAGAACGTCATCAGCAGCAACTGACAACTACAATGACAGCAATAGCAACAGAAACCTACATTTTTATTTAGCTGCTGCTTGTTGTTCTTGTTTTTGTTTCTGGTTCAAAAGAACCAAAAGACTCGTAATAAGAACTTGTAAGAGGATTTTTTTGTAGCACAATTTTGCTGTTGTTGTTGTAGTTGTTTTCTATTTCGTTTTTAGGATGGGTGAAATTGTTTAAGTATGGTGGTCAGTATTATGGGTTTAAAAGAGCATTTGTAACAGGGATGTCTTCTTAAGAATTTGTCATTTTCTAAAACATGAAAATATATTGTTTTGAAAAAGATAAACAAGTCGATTTCCTAAAAGTTTCTCAAAGGAACTTTTCCCATAATGCAGCGACTAGAGACCCTAATTTAGCCAAATTATATGTTTTAGATTTTGTTCTAATAGTTTTAACTTTAAAGTGTTATATTTAATACTACTGTAATAGTTTACATCATAATTCGTTACAGCTTTAAATATTTATTTCATATTTAAAATATTTTTTTTAGTTTTTTGTTGTTGTTTTCTATGCTAAATATAAAATGACAACAAATTGTCTAGAAGTATAAATATAAAAACTGGGTAAAGTGCTTTTTCAATTTGTTTTACTTAAACGCACTTGACTGTTGCACTAAAAATAGTTTTAA